GACCCAAGGAAAGGGTTGATGAAGAAAATAGAAAATAGTCACAAGAACTCCATACTGTTTCACTGTACACAGTACAAAGAGGCAGCAAACAGGAATAATGGAAGAATAAAGGTTTGGGAACAAAGCAGGTGAATATAGAAAAATACAAAGATAATTAAAGAGTTTCTATGGTGCTCAGAAGTACATACAGGTGCTATATGATGGGTAAGTAGCATCCTTAGTTTGGAAACATTTTTTTTTTAAAAAACAGAGTTCTTTACTCAACATGAATTAGAGAGTAATACTAATGCCCATTCTTATTAGGTGAGGAATAGGATAATTATTTACATTATGATTACTACATGGCTTTAAGAGTTACTTGCACATCCCAGGTAACTCTCTTTTAGGGAATACATTTTCCCTGCTAGAGCAGGCAGCACAGTTGCTTCACTGTCATCCAAAATAAAATGTCCTAAGCTAGGGCCGGTGTTTAACAGTACTTAATGAGGCTTTTCAACCCAGGAATGCTGGTCCTTGGGTGAGGTCTCATCTTTTATCTAGGTTATATATATGATCCTGGACATTATCTGTCAAAGGGATATTCACTTTCAGTCTAAAAATGATTTGTAGGTCTAGACCCTATTTCTTCAGCTGCCATAAAACATACAACTAAATCATATTAGATTAACAGAGGCTGGTATTGACAGCCCAGTGGGAACATATTGATTAGGTTCCTTTTCATGTTATTTGTTATGATTTTTCTTCTCAGTTTCACTTACTGAGAAGACACTAGGGAAGAGATTTCACTGGGAACAATGACAGTGCCTGTCACAAAATGTTCTCAATGTTTCCATTTGTTACTATGACAGTGACAAAGAGGTTCCAAATGAAAAGGCAGACCTGCTGTGGCAAAGCACAGCAGGACAACAGGAAGACATTTTCTCCTGACCTGGGAAATGAGGAAATCATACTTAGAGATTACAGAATTGTCTCCATTTCCAAAGGTACAATCCTAGTACTTGGGTTTTTGAGGAAGGATGTGCAAAGAATAGTTCTATCAGTGCTAGTCAGCAGACAAATGGAGAACAAATGTTACAAAGTGCCTAAGAGAAAAAAGTATTTCTAAGAGAATAAGGAGGCTAAGGAGAATCTGTCACTGTTACTAAAGCCTTGAGTGTAAACTATAAATTTAATTTATTTATCTTTGGGGTACTCCTTTAATATTTTATATGGAAATGCATGATGCAGTCACATTAAACAACGTCTTTAAAAATCTGATAAGCAAAGGAGATAGATAAACACATAAACAGAAGTCCAGTAGAGCTCTTGGTTCATTTCTGCCCACAACTGCAGATCTTGCCACAGATCTTGCATGTGGGTGTCAGGATCCCAATCTCTCAAGCCGTCACTGCCTCCGCCCCCTCCCCCAAGGTCTGCATTAGTAGGATGCTTGAGACAAGTACTGGCCCCAGGTACTTGGATATGTGATCATCTTAACAACAGGCTAAATGTATATTCAATTTTTTCTTTCCTCAAATGTGCTTCAATTGGCTAAAAGGAATACATGACATCAGTACTGGGATATGTAACTCACTAGCACATGGAAACTGGAACGGCGCTTTATCCCAAAACTGTCAATTACTTTCCTTCAGAAAGTTGAATCACAAAGGGAACTGGAATACAGACATGCAAAGTCACATAAGACAAAAATACTCAGTCTAGCAAAACTTGAAAGTAACAGGACGAATATATTAGCTATCTAAAGATAAAATGTGTCAATCAGAAAGCAGATATGTTAACAAGGCAGGGAAGTAAAAACAAAGAAAACACACAGGAAATATAGAAGTTGCCACTGTGTCTTTATTCATGACCAAAGTAGATAAGTATCTGTAACAGGCAGGCCTGGACTGAGTCAGGTCTAAGTCAGGAGCTGTGAACTCTACCTAGGTCTGCATATGGCTGGCAAGGACCTAAGTACTTGCGGCATCATCTGCCACCTCCCAGGGTACATTAGCACTAAGCTGGATCAGAAGTGAGCTGCCAGGACTTGAACAAGCACTCCAGTGTGGGATACTGATGTCTCACGCACTGGCTTAACTTGCGGTGCCACAATCCTGGCCCATGGAACTGTTTTTCATTCTGAATCTTTTTTTTTTTTTTAAATTTCCTACTAACAAGACCATCTGCAGTGAGGATGAATTCACCAAGGCGGATGGATTTTAGTCTGACGCTATTAAATCGTTGTTATTTTCCTTATTCAGAGTTCATGCTAACCAACTCACCTTACGCTTTATTTGGCTGTTTGTTTTTCTTTAGCAATCAATTCTATCACCTAACAAAAGGCTCTCAGTTCGAACTCACCAGGGACTACAGTCCTTCACTTATTTTTCCCTCCAGTCTCTCATTAATACAACAATCTTGGGTTACAGTCTCCAGAACCCTAGCAGAAAACAAAAACCCATCTTCCATACACAAAGTCATTTAGGCAATAGGAAGAAGTTTCTCTTTGGCAAAACCAGTTTGTTTGCTTGCTTGTTTGTTTTTTCCAGAAAGGTTGGTCTGAGGGTCTCAATTCTAATGCTGAGATTTCCTTTAATGTTTAAGGAAGTATAGTGCACTGACTGAAGAACCAGACTGCTTGGATGTGTTTCCTGGCTCTGCTACCCCTTGCTAGGAGACTACAATCATAGTACTCAGTATCTTTTACTGCAGTTTTTCCATCAACAAATTGCACTTCAAAATAATCTACTCCAAGAAATTTTTGTGGATAGCAAATTAATTAACATAATACTTACAGCACCAATGGGCAGCAGGTGCAATTTAAAAGTTAGTTATTGCTATATGGTTCACCTTGACTCAGAGAAACAGAATGTGCTCAACGTGGCATCAAATATTGATCTTGGAGTGTTCATCTCATGACCCAGTGTCTCAGGCTGTGACCATCCTGGGAACAGATCAGGGTAGACCTACAGTATGAAAAATGGCTATTGAACTGAGGTCTTACACAATGAATTTCTGCCTAGTTTCAGCCAGATTTTCTCTACTTTTTAAAGTGTGTAGTGAAATCTAGGGTTTAGAACCTGGATATGTTGGAGATGTGTTGGATCAGCAAATGCTTGTCTGTGTGCCAAGTTAAGTCCATAGTCTGTTCTTACATAGTTAGAGAGTCAAGAAAGGTTGCTGTATTAAAAACAAAACAAAACAAAATAAACCTAAAACAAACAAAATAAAAAGCCAGCAAACAAAACAGGAATATGCAATGCAAACTGTGGCTTTCTAAAGCCTGATTATTCACTATTTGACCCTTTATTTAAGAAAAGACTGTGGACACATTTCTACATGCTCTTTTCTTTTTCCCTAGTGAATGGATTACAATAAACAAAGCTAGATTATAGGAGTGGGATTAAAAAGAGGCTGAAAATCCTTTAATACAAATTCCAATTGTTTTGACATGTATCATTGATCTCTCTATTATTTAAACAGTGGCTACCTATTCCTAATCTAGTATCCTCAGATAATAAGTCCTCCATTGTTGTACTTAACAAGTACTTGTAGAAACACAGGTAGCTGGGTGTCTGTAAGGGGATTTGCTACTGCAGGGCCAGGAAGCCCAGAACCCTAAGATGAGAGGTGGTGGCTCACTAGGTCACCATCCTAGAAACTAGGATGGGTGCAAAGGACACAAAACACTGACTGTCTCATAGAGCTTACGGGACTCACAAGACTCACACCATGCACATACAGGGCACATATTTAAAACTCCTAAATTAAGATTTTTGGTCTAAATAATTTCTAACATGGAACTTATCAGCATTTCCTTAAGGAATTGCAGAATATGGCCTAATGTTGAATAAAATATTTTTTTATAGAATATCAAATAGGAAAATTAACTACAAAGTCCTTTTAACATCAGAAACAATATAGGCTTTCAAAGCTAAGAAACACAATGCAAGCATGACAGTAGTGTGTTAATGTTCCTGGGAAAGCAGTGGAAGATGGTCCAAGCAACCCTTACCATCCATGTAAGAGACAAGGATAAAAGACAAGGATAAAAGAGTGCTTCATGCCTGACACTGGATGGCCCAGATCTTGCAATTGTGATCATTTGGAAGAGTAAACCAGAAGATGGAAGCTCTCAGGCCTCTCTATTTCTCTCTCTCTCTCTCTTTCCCTCCCTCCTTTTCTTCCTCCTTTGTCTCTAGATCTTTCAAATAAATATTTCCTTAGGAATAATAAAAATTAAAAACAGCATTAGGCTAAAATCACCACATAAGTTTAGGTTTCTCACAGAAGGATCCTTCAGGGAAAGGGGGTTTGGTCAGCTCCATTTACCATTTTTACCTTATTTTGCTTGATGTAATGAGAAAGACACAGATCAGAACATGCCCTATAGGTTATCTTGCAGGACTCAAACTTTCCAGAGACTCCCCACTTAGCTTAACCACACTTAACCAGAGACAATTTAGACCCATCCAAGAACCTTTCTCAAAAAGATTCAGCTCCTAGAAAATTTTGCCAGTTCTTAATGAGTCAGAATTTGACAAAAGTTTAACCATTTTTAGTATAAGAAACACTATCCATTTGTTTTTAGAAACAGATGTTTAAAGCAAGGGCATAATCTAAAGACATCATCTTTTGTTATTAATATGCTATTTAATATTCACCACAACTTGTTTTAAAGAACAACAATGTGTTAACATTTAAGCCTGCAGGGCTATGCATATCCTATCGACTGTACTTGATGCAGCTTGTTTATGCAATATTCTGACAGATACAATTAATCTTGTGAAAATGACTGGGGTAAAACATAATAGAAAATTATCTTTGTCAAACACATAGTTTTTGTATAGTAAAAACCCCTCACAATACTCACAGTGATGATGGTATGTGAAAAGAACATGAGGAGTTCATTATTTCAAAGGAGAAACTAAAGCTAGTAAATTAATAAACTTTGGCTATATGGTACCAAGAAGGGTTAAAATGTTTAACTTATAAGTAAGCTGAAATAAATGAGTGTGTACCTCCAACAAATGCATCTCCAGCTCCGTTGGTATCAATAATTTCTTTCTGGTCTTGATCCAAGACAGCAAAAGCAGTGACTTCACCTTCTGCAATGAGAGCCAAAGAAAGGCAGAGTGACTTAGGAATACTCAATTTCTAAGCTCCCCCAGTCAAGTATGAAGCTCCTTCATCACTCATCACTCAGAAAGAAAGAGGACAGCATTTCCATAGACTGTACATGAACACCAGGACGTCAGGGTACAAGTTATCTGGGAACAATCCCTTTTGGTTACATGCAGCATACAGATACTAATATAAATCTTGTGAGAGTTATACCAAGGTAGTTCACATTTTGGGATAATAATTGTAAATGGCACCAATAACTTTTTGGACAGTACAAATGATTGAACAGAAACTAAGAGCTAAAGGATGTGTTTGTATGGATTGAATCATGGTCTCTAATAAAGCTTCAAGTCTGACTGCATTCCTGGCAGTAAAATCTTGGATACAGTTAAAGAGTTATAAATTTGAAAAAAATACAAATAGTAAGGGTTGGGTGTTTCTCTACAGAAAGTCACAAGGCATAATTAGAACATCACTTCTATTCCGTTACAATACTTCATGTCAATGTCAAAGATAACCGATTTTAGTTGGCTTATTACAAATAATCTAATCCTGTTACTTTGTGTGCAAAAGGATTGTTATCTGCCAACCAGTAAAAAGGAAAGCCATCACTGAACAAAAAAAGACAGTGCAATGGGCTCTTGTCCTAGAAGAGTCTGGAACATGGCTTGGTTGTTTTGACTACAGAGTAACCAAATATAATACTTTAAACTTGGAATATGACAGTGTAATGAATATTTGTGAGGCAATCTGGCTTAGCAGAAAACTACAATTGACTGGATTGTGTTTTTTATGGGGGCTGAAAAAAAAAGCACCAAATTTGCATCTCTTATGGGGACAGATGAGTTAAAGACATGTAAACTTCATTCTCATCAAAGATCAAGAATGATGTCTTGGGAACCGTAACAAATATCTTAAGAGTGAACATTAAGAATATTAACAAATATATTCTATCTTTTGCTACTTGTTACTAATGCATACTATCAAGAGACAAACTCAGATATATCAATAAAAACAGACTTTCCTGTAAAGATTAATATTCAAAAGGAGTGCTCATTTACTTAATGATTCCTTTTGATCCTGAGACTATGGATGGTGAGGAAACCCCATACCAGATGCATCTATTTGAAGTCTTTAGGTAACTAAACTTTCCACACTTTGTAACATGGAAGTTAACAAAATTTTGATGAATTACAAATTACAGGATAAATATCCAAGATTAAATTTTCTTGAGCACAGTGCTACATACTCTTAAAATGGAGAAAAAGAAGGATTAGGTGGATTTTATTTGAATTAATTGGGAAAGAGTTGCAGTCTGACTTAGGAAAAGGTCTGTACCATAAATATTTACAAAGAAACCTTGTTTTATTACTTCCAAGTACAAGTCATCCTATAAACAGAACTAACAACTATAAACTAAGAACAAACAGGCACTAAATAAGTAAAATGAGCTAAATTAACGACACCATTACAATTTATGATAGGGTTACATTATTTAAAAATATAACATGTCTGTAAACCATCTTAGGCAATACCACCATTACTGGATTTACAGAATTAAAAATAATTATATATAAATGGTAAGCAAAAGGTAATTAGATATAATTCTTTAAGGTCCTCGTCTGAGAAAGTTAATTTAAAAATCTACTTACTTTTTCTTTATTTGAAAGAGGAGGAGAGACAGAGTGAGGGAGTTAGCTGGCTAGACAGACCTTCCTTCTACCTGACGACTCATTCTCCAGAGCCCACAATAAAACTGAGGTCGGGCCAGGCCAAAGGCAGAGGCTTGGAACTCAGTCCAGGTCCCACATGTGGGTGGCAGGGACCCTACTACTTGAGCCATCACTACTGCCTGCAGTGCACCAGCAGCAAACAGAAATCTCAAGTGGAGGCTTCCTGTGATGCAGACACTCCAATACCGCATGTGGGAGTCGTAAGCAGAATATCAACTCCTGTGCCAACTGCCTGTCCAAGTTGCCCATTTATTTGGAAGAATCTTTATTTATGAATAAAACCTATTTTACATTGGAGGAGATTATTTTTCACTTTGTTCTTAAGAATCAAGACTCTTGGGCTAAGTACTATAGTTTTGTTTCTGTATATACAAGTATGTGGATGATTAAGAAAATTTACCTTTAGCTGTCATATATGAAAAGTAATCTCTTGAGATACAGATTACTTTCCCCTTCAATACATAATAGTTCAAATAGGTATGTAAGAACATTACAGATACAAAAGTGTGCTGTAAATTCAATATAGCTCTTTTTCCATTACATTAAGAGCAAGTCTATGAAAAGGATGACCTTAAATATCTGCAAGATCCTGAAATGTGTTCTGAGTCACAGAAGGCTTTAAAATGTTTAATGTTTAAATGCAATTTAAACTTCGGTACATTTATATATTTTTTAGAATGTGAAGATCTAATTCGGTTTATGCAGTTGCTCAGATGTAAAGCATCAGAGGACACGTGTTTGGTGTAGTGTTTGATTCGCTGCTTGGGGCGCTTTGCTTGGTATCAGAGTGCCTGGGTCTGCATCCCAAACTGCTCTCCATTCATTCCACCTTGATGCTAACACCTGCCCTGGGAGGCAATGCTGCTGGCTGACGCCCGCGTGTCCCCCCTCTCCCTGTTGGATCTGGGTTGAGTTTCTGCCTTTTTACTTTGACTTTGCTCAGTCATAACTGTGTGACTGCTAGATGGGAGATACTTCTTTCTCCCTTTCCCTCATTCTAAATAAACAAATAAATGTTTACTTTTTCACACAACTAGACATCATTTATCAGTATGTTTTCTTTCCTAGCAAATCCAAAGTGATTTCCTATATGATCACAGAAAGTATGTTAATCAAATAGAAGACTTTCTTACAGACATGGAGATATGATCCGACCTATGAAGCGGAAAAGATTCATACAACTCAGACTAGGCCTAGCTTTAGGAATGAGATGGGCATGGAGTAGCTAGAGGTTTGTACAATAGCAAAAAGCAGCTTTCTGCCTAAGTCTAGAAAAATGACATTGTTCATTCTGATTAAGTATTTCTACTCAGGAATTTAAGATAAGGCATAGCAGTTAGTGCTCAATTTCTCCAAAACTTTTTGCAGTAAGAGGAAAAATGACTGAAAATAATCATTATTCCTATTTTCTAGGTTTCCATTAAATCATCAGATCATAACCTCTCTAAGTACACAATTCAGTTGCTTTCAGCATCATATCAAGTTTTTTACTAGAAAAGACCCTCTGGCTATCTTCTTCCCAAACAATGGAATTAAACATACTTAAAACACAAAATAATCAGATTTAGGCATTCTTTATATAGTTCATATTAACAAATAATTTACTTGTCCCTTTACAGTGACACTAACTTCACTGTCTAATTCCTGAGGAGGCTAGTCTAATAGAACGAAAATATCTTCATGCATCCATATTAAGTCAATCACATTAAATAGGTAAGTTTGTACAGATGCCACAGTACTAAAAAATTTAGCCACTGAGTGTCAAACAATTAGATGAACTGTTTCAGCAGCCTAACTTTCACTAGCGTATTATTAAAATAAAGATATATTTTAGCACTCCACACAGAGCCTCATGACAATGGCCCCTCACATTTTCTTTAAATAATTTTCAAAGTCATGCTTCATCACTGTTTAATGTGTCTTCCAAATTATAGAAAATATGACTGAAGAAAAGTTACAGAAGGCTGAAAGGCGGGTGGGTATTTGCTTTTCAACTTCAACATGAACTGCAGTCACTAGCTCCGCCACCTCCTCTGGCCAAGCACCAACAGGCACGGGAGACAAAAGTGAAGGCGAAAACTTCATCCGAAGGAGAAAATGATGAGAAGATACAATATAAAACACTTTACATTCTAAAGGGTTCCTACCTCTTAGACATTCTTACACTGAGGTGAGTTTCAGCGGGTTTTATCTGGTATTTCCTTAACTGTTTATTTAGATAATGAATTTAAACTAATATAAGACTCTCAGGGAAAACAGAACTTCCAAATAATGTTGCTCATCTTTATCATTTTTTAAAGAGATTTAATTATTTATTTAATTGGAAAGTCAGATTTACAGAGAGAAGGATCTTCCATCTACTGCTTCATTCCCCATGTAGCCAAATTGTTGGAGCTGGGCTGATCCAAGGCCAGGAGCCAGGAGATTGTTTCTGGTTTCCCACACGGGTGCAGGGTCCCAAGACTTTGGGCCATCCTCCACTGCTTTCCTAGGCTACAGGCAAGGAGCTGGATAGAAAGTGGAGTTGCTGGGATGTGAACAGGCACCCATATGGGATCCTGGCATTTGCAAGGCGACGACTTCAGCCACTATGCTATGGTGCTGGGTCCATATTTATAACTTCCTAAAAAACATTTTGCTACATTTGCTTTTGTATCCCTTACATATATGCACACATATATACATATCATTTTCTTCTGTCAGATGTGCATTTTCTAAAAACAAGAATATTCTGGTATCAGGGTACAACTGATAAATTTAGAAAAAAAAAGAATTAAATGGATTTATGATTCCATATTTCAATATTGTTAACAGTTCTAAAACCGTTTGTAGTTTTATTCCTTCATTTGTTTCAGGATTCATTCTAGTATCACAAGCTGCTTTTAGTTATTTTTGTTTGCTTTTAGTTCAACTTTTAACTTTTCGAATAAATGCTATATTGTTCAGCTTCAAAATAGAAGAAAAATCAAATACATGAAAAGGCATTTCATTAACAAAATTTCTTTACCCCTTTCCCCTATTTAGTTGATTTCTTTCTTTCAAAAAAAAGGTTATTTATTTGAAACACAGAGTAAAGAACAGAGAGAGGGAGGGACGTGAAGGAGAAAACAGACTGAATGAGCGCCACACAGAGAGAAGGAGAGAGAGCAGCAGTGAGAACAACAGGTGCTTTGCATCTGCCAGCTGACTGCCAAAATGTCCACGAGGGACAGGCCTGGCCCAGAGAGGATCAAGGCGCAGATTCCACTAAG